GACATCATGAAGCTACTGCGATGGCCACCATCACAGTCACCAGCAGAGTGGCCTCCTGATGTTGTACCCTGTGAAAAGGAGGATCCTTGCAGCTGTCCCGCAACTCACTAAGCTTGTTGGCCCTGTTGTGTCAAGGAGACTTGGCGGCCACACATCCCGACGTGCAGACTGGGTCTATTCAGCATGTCTGTAGCACAGCAGTTTGCCACTCAGGAAAGTCCTCCCACCCACCAGCATTTACCTTTCGTCCCACCCTGTGGGGGCTGCCTGGTAGCCGCCTGGCCCAGTGGACAGCACACCCCACCGCATGTCTGCCTGCGGTGGTGCCAGGGTTTGTTCCCAGCCCTAGGACTAAACCTTGAGCCTCATCCATGCTTGAAATAATCTTCCAATGTTCCTTTTTCAGAAAATCAGCAATGTAGTCAGCACTCTTTCAGGCTACCTTATTCTGACCAGCAGCTTTCAAGGTCCTTGAAAGTAACTGCTGCAAGCTCATATAACGGAGCTGGCCTGTAAAAGTGGAGGCGGCAAAACTGTTGTTAATGATCATCATGCTCCTCTCAGCCTTGAAAATCAATAGCTTCTTCCTTCGCATATCATCTAATTATAATATACAGTCTGTGGCCTGCAAACAATTCTTACCGTAATCCGTCTAAAATGTATGAATTTCTTTCTGATACCATTCCATCCAGTCCACAATACTGCAAAGTGTTGTGATATTGACAAGATAAGCATTCTACAGTGCAACCCTTGGTGAATAGCCAGCAGTGGTACTAGGAGGCAGGATCAGAACTTACAGCAGTAGCTACAAAATTTCTAACAGAGTTTTTCTACATTATATTACTGCAAAGGAAAAATCACTCTTGTAGTTGACAAAAACCAATCTATAATGCTATACATTTGTCTGAAAGGACAATGTCCCTGTAAATAATCATAATAAAAAAACTTATGTAGAATATAATGTAAAATCATACTTACAGACAACCTTAAGACTCCAAAGTTTGCAGAGTCATAAGTATCTAAAGAAGAGTTCTTGGCTAAATTGAAGTACAAAAATCAGTTATATGGACATGATCACTTATCTGCAAGGTACTGTAATTAAGAGGGGAAAAGTAAGGTTCATCTTACCATTTACTTCCTCATCCCTGGCCAAGTTCTTCTGACTATGTGATACTACAAAGTTAGGTTACATTGGTTTTCCTGGAAAAGGAAAGAGGTCAAAGGTATTACATTTGGCTCATTAGAGAAGGCAAAAGAAGACATGTATTTCAAATATTTAGTTCTAAGTATTGTATTTAGACAAGTATCTGTCATTGGAGATTCACCATCTTTCACCTGTAGGTTCCTGAAGCAACATTTGAGAAGACAGTTACTTAACTAATTTTTTACTCCAAAAAGAATTTATACCTCTCCCTAGGCATCCTTCTCATCTTGAAAGACAGAGAAATGTATTTTGAACTGCAGTCACACAGTATCTATATATTATAGAAGCAATACAAACTGTGCTTCTTGTGTTTTTTTAAATACTGAAAGAATTATTTCATTATTTTCTTGGAAAATGATATTTTAGAGGACTGAGTGATCAATAAATTAGGAATAACTTAAAAGAAAAAGGATCAGGGGTAATAATATGATAGTGTAAAAAGATAGAGGTTAAGCTTTGCAGACTGTCAGCAAAGGGGAAGAGCACCTTTGGAAGATACCTAAACTCATGCTGGCTGAACACAGGGGATCCCATCAAGACAGATAGGGTATCTGACACAAAAGGTAGACCGCAATGCTAGTCAGCTCAAAATTTTTCTGTTGCCAAAGCTACATCAAATCATTGCACATTGTCATTAAAAGCTTTCACAGACAACTGCAGTGGCAAAACCAAGACACCTGAATTCAGTAATGTCATTTCTTTATAAACAGCACATAATTTCATATATTCCCTTAGCTTTATTTTAGACTCCTTTGATCTATGTGGCGATATGCATCAAAAACTCCTGTACTGCTTGGAAAATTTTAACCTCTGCACAAGGTAAGGGAAAAAAGAGTAGCAGCATAGACTATTGGACTAAAGCCAAGAGACCCTCTCCTAACCAAACATGAGGGCTAAGATCTATTTACATTCTTAAACTTCAAAGTGCATTTTAAAAAGGCTTCGAGTTATTGCTGAAATCCCTAGGCAGTTTGGGAAGGACCTGTTGTCTTGCAGAAAGACACAGAACTTACTTGTCCCAGTGCTAACATGAAATTTCATGAACTGAGGTAATAAACTAAGAGATGCTGGAGAACAAGCCACTGCTGTATGGAGAAAAGTCTGGAATGAATCCTGGTCCCTCCAAAGGTCCCTCCAAACCCTGTCTGTCTCTGCACTAAAGGGCAAAGCTACTGTTTTGTTTGGTCTTTGATGTACTTAAATTCCTTTTGGGAAAGTCAGGCTAAGTTTTCTTTTAAGGGCATTTGTTATGATGTAATTTAAAATCCTCATTGTCAGTTATCTAAGTATCTCTTAAGCTTGTGGGTGTCATTTTGGTTTGTGTATGCTTTTTGTTTGGTTGGTTTTATTTTTAAGAGGACAAATTATTTTATGGCTGTATTTCTTAAATGTCAGTGAGGATTCAGACAAGCTCAGAGCATCTGATTAAAACTGTATGCCGAAAATGTTACTGTTCTTAGTCATTTACCCTAAAAATCCTGCGCAGTGGTTTCACTGCGAGGCAGCAGCGTCCTGTCCTCATGCAGATCAACCTGTCTATGATTACAGTTTTCAGGCTAGCGTACTATGGTAAAGGGTGTATGTTTAGCAGGGGAAGATGGAAGCAGAACCATAGGTGATACAGATTCTCTCCTGGAAGTTCTTCAACAGTTCAGCCCTTTCTGCAGGTTTGAAAACAAAGCACATCATAAAAATGTATCGAAGGAAGATGTGGCTCAGGGATTTCTGAAACTGCTTCTGTCTTTGAAAAGTACAGTTGCTTCCCATTTCTTCCCTTCACAGAACTTAATTGTTGTGAAAAAACACGTTTGACGCTAACATACAATTTTTGCTCTCTTTTACCCTTCCTTCACTTCCCTGTTTCTGCAGCTGATGTTACTGGAACAACGTGCTTTCACTTACTTTTACTGTTGCGTTTTGCACCCAAGAACCACCAGAATATGCACAAAAATTCAGTGTGATGAATTCAAGTGTTCAAATTTTTTGTTTGGCTGTCAAAAGTCGGGACAAAAGGATGCAGAAGTGTAGAATTGTGCTGTTCTGTGCTTTGAATTTAATGAGTTCATTATTCTGAAATTAATTTACAGTGAGATGAGGTCTACTCGCAATAGCAGAAACACAAAGTAGACCTTGAAGCTTCTCTCTTCTCTGACCAGTGTTTTTTGTTATGATGTTTCTTGATCTCAAAATTCTAACAAAATCCTTTACAAGTGTGTTTGTGAGAGAGCATGAGACAGCATGGAGGTTAAAGTCTGTTTTCTGCTTATGACAGGTACTCTCCACCTGGCACCTGGAGTAGTTGATTTGCTTCAGTACTATTTCCCAGAATGTTTTGATCAGCTTCCTGAGGACCGTGGCCTCTTCGATGGACAAAACCCCGTGGTCCTGGAGTCCTGCTGTGTTAGTGGCCTAGCATGCTGCTGAGGGGCCACAGAAGGAAAGCACTGCCTATTGAATTTGGAGCACATCAGGTTTGCTTTTCTTAGGTATATGGCTTTTTGCAGATTCTTCCAGGTCTTTTGCTAACTGAATAATTATTTTATATGGGCTGCCCACAACTTTTTTTTTTTTTTTTGAGCCCCTCTATCTCACTGGTAAGTTATGCTTCTTAAACTTAGAACCCTTTACTGTGGGGGTTTCTCTTTCTTCTTCATGCACATCTGGGTCTTTCTGCTCTTTTTTGCATCATACGTCTCCTGTCCTATTCCTTTCTAACTTCAAATTTTCCTACGCCGGATCTAAGGCTGTCTCCTCACACCCTGCATTTGTCAGTCTTCTAGTGCCACCTTTGCCATCTTTTCTGGGGAGAACGTGGGAACGTTTGCGTTAAACATCACCTGGTTTTGAGAACACTCTTGCGTTATCACGGTACATTTATGTGCTTTCTCTGTGCAGCTGTTACCTTTTTTTTCTGCTTCCTAATACGTTCTTTCTCTTAATGTATTTTATGATAGGTGGTGCTAGTGGCAAATGGAACGGCAAAGAAGATACCTGAGGAGCTCAGCTTAGCACTCGTACTGACAGTTTTGTGAAGCAAAGGCCTTGGAATTTGGTGATGTCCTCCTCCTTTACAACTCTTTCACCCTCTCAGAGGTATTTAATTTTTAAGTATTTTCTGATTTTTTTTTTTTTTTTTTTTTTTTTACTTAGTGTCTCGATTTTACAAGCAATCTAATTGGCTTCCCAGACGGGGAAAGGTTCACACTTTGCTCTGAGGGAGGACAGGTGGTTCCACAGCGCGGTAGCGAACAGGGCTCACCATAAGTTTAGGAAACGACCCTGCCTTCCCCTCCCGCTGCATTTTCCTTCCGGCTGGCTGTTGCAATTTCGGGGAGAGCCTTGGGGCTCCCACCACGTCATGCCCGCACCCATGCCTGCACGCACGCCAGGGCCCCCCCCGCCCCCC